TCTAACCTTCATTGCCGGAGTCGTCACAATCATCGATGTCAATCGCCGTCGCCATCGCCGCTGGGTCGTTCTCTCCGTCAATCGCAATCGCCACCAGCCCCTGAGTTCTTTTCTCCATCAATCGCCAGAGACGGGAGTCGGGAGGAGAAATCACCACTGCCCACTGCTTTGTGCGCTGAGAAGTGAGAGAGAAGAAGAAGAAAGAGTGAGAGAAGAAGAAAGAGTGAGAATTGGTTCTACACTTCTGCGTTTTCTTTTGGTAGGTGGGGGTGAAAGAGAGTAAGTGGGGAGAGAGAGAGGGTCTGCGTAGATGGAAAATGGGGAGAGGGTTAGTGGTGGGGACAGAGTGAGAGAGTTATTGTATGAAAATTCGGGTTTGGCCTCCGAACCGAGCCGAACCGAGCTATAATTCGGTTCGGACAAACCGAACCGAATTATAGCTCGGTTCGAATTCGGTCGAGTGCTGCTATGGTTCGGAAATTCGGTGTATGTCAGTTCGGTTCGGTTCAAACCGAACCGACCGAACGCCCACCCCTAGCTCCAAGAAGCTGAGGTCCGCCCTTCCTGGTGGTTCGATTCGTTGCGCTTCAGTCACGGGCAACTCGGCCGGCGCTTGTTGTGGTAGAAAGGCTGCGCCTGACGCCTCTCCTTGTGTTTGTTGCAGCGCGACAGGCGCCACATCCGGCGCTGTCACGACTTCTTTGCTCATCATGAGCGCTATGAATTGGCTCATCTGTTTTTGCATGTCGGCTATGACGCTGTTTTGCTTCGCCATTAGCTGCCTCATTTCCTTGGATGTCAGTTCGGGCTCTTCTTCCTCAACGAGAACTGCGTTAAGGTTACTGGCTTCTGCGAATGCCCTTGGGGTTGTCATCGCCTTGATGGGTGTTACCTCGTCGGGAAAGTTGGAGTTGTGCTCTGCCATTGGTTGGATTTCTGCTGCTTTTCTACTCGGCCCCACGTGGGTGTCAATTGTTTGAACCTAACTGAGTGTAGGAGTGAGATTCACGAGAAAGGGTCGAGGAGAATAAGCAACAGGAATCAGCCTGGAACTTAGGAACAAAAGGAAGGAAGAATGGAGTTGAGAGAGTGTCTTTTAGAGAGAGAAGTTTGTTCTTTGCTTAGAGATAGAGTCCCTAAAATCCGATCCCCTCACCCACCAGAGTAAATGCCATATTTATAGGCTACATGATGGTGGGTGAGATACATGGTGACATGACCACTGACATGTCAGAGGTCTAGACCACAGACATGTTAGAGGTCTAGACTACACCCCTACCTAGGACAAGTACATGCAGGACCTTATCATCCTTAGGACTGTGATGGTGACTACCTAGGACTATGATGGTGACTACTCTTCGAGGAGACACGGCGTCGTTTCCATGGCTTGCTGAACTGGTCAACGCTAGATCTAAACGTCGTCGCTCGGTATTCGGGATGCGGCCCTGGTCTCATCGGTGCTAAGGCGCCAGACTCTCTTGGCGGTGGCGCCGCTGCGCTTCTTAGGTCTTGCCGGTGCTAACGCGCCCGATCCTCTTGGCGGTGGCGCTGTCGCGCTTCTTAGGTCTTGTCGGTGCTAATGCGCCCGACTCTCCTGGCGGTGGGACCGGAGTACTTCCTTGGCGCAGCGAGATCTGAGTCACATACCCAACAGTTCTAATTAATCTAATTAAATGAAGGACATTGTAGTAAGATTCTTTTAATTGTCAACTATTAAATGATTTTTTCTCCATCCCATCTATTCTCATCCCACGGCCAGGAAACTTTCCCGTCGTCGGCAAGGGAACCTTGCAATTCTTTCTCGTCTCTTTCCTTTCCGCCGGCCAGGGAACTTTCCATTGCCAGCCAGTGCAATTCCTCTTTAGTGCCACTTTCAATTACGACGTATGAGATAGAGAGAGACTTCTGGTAATTGCGGCAGAGAGGATTTTCCGACGATGCTGGATTTTTTGGCGGCAGCGCTAACTTTGTGATGTATGTCGAACTATTTTGTAATGTTGGTAAGTCTGGTTTGTTATGTTTGTAGCAATTCAGTTTCTATAGTTTATCATTTTAGTTTGTCATTTTATCTATTATGTTTGTAATTATTATACTACTAATTTGTAATGTTTATCTATTATTGTAATTTGTAATGTTTGTTCGTCTAGTTCATATATTTTATGTTATGATTTTTATACTTTGTATTCATTGTTTTGTAATACAAGTTTGTAGATTTGTATTGTAAGTAGTGATGTGTTATCTTGTACTGTTAGTATATTTTGTAATGTTTGTCGATTTTTTTAATGTTTGTAAGGTTTTTTATTTTTGTCCATCATGTTTGTCATTTTTGTCAACCATGTTTGTAATGTTTTCATGTCTAAAAAACACATTGGTTGACTTTTGAACGAAACTCTTCTATATAGAGATAGAGCCTCCAAAGTCAACCCGGGTGATTTTCCATTTTGTATGATTTGTCGGTCTAGTTTGTCATTTTTGTCCCCGATGTTTGTAATGTTTGTATGTCTAAAAACAACCGGGTTGACTTTGAGACGAACCCCTCTATATAGGGACGAAGTATCCAAAGCCAGCCAGTTTGTTTTGCATTTTGTATGATTTGTATTGTTTGTCGGTCTAGTTTGTATAGTTCGTATTTTTGTATTATTTATAAATCTATTTGTATGTTTTGTTATTCTAGTGTGTATTGTTTGTAAATCCGTTTTGTATATTTCATAATTTTTCATAATACCCAAATTACCATTGTCACTAATTAAAAACCCCTTCCTATTTTTGAAATGTTAGATTGATGTGTTTAAATCAAGTACCGAAAAGGACTTGACTAACCCATTTTTTAAAGGGTAAATACAATATATTAGCCACAATTATTATGAAGTGGGGAATTATAGCCATAACTATGAAAATTCAAATTATTAGCCAAACGTTAACTATTTGTTAACAATTTCGTTAGTAATATTGACTAAACTTTTATGTTTCAAAGTTATAAATTAAAAGCAGTCCGACGTGGCTGTTGCCGTGGCCGATGATGTAACTTTCTAAGTTAAAAATTCAATAAAAGTAATGGACAGTTAGCCATAGCTTGACCCGCAACAATAGTTATGGCTAATAATTTAAATTTTTATAGTTGTGGCTATAATTCCTCGCTTCATAATAATTGTGGATAATATATTGTATCTACCCTTTTTTAAATGTTAGATTGATGTGTTTAAATCTAAGTACTGGAAAGGACTTTGACTTAGTCACATGCGGAATATAAACTTCTTAATTGATTCAAGAAGCTTTCCATTGCGGTTATAATGCCAAAATATCAAATTAAGTTGACTCAGATCCGCCTAAGTAGGGACCAATGAAATTACAAACAAATTCCTTTGGAGATGCTCTAAGCTTTCAGAATGACACAGTGACACCTATTTCCAATTGTTATGAAGTGGAGAGAAATGTCTAATCCATTGCCCACCCACCCAAAATGGGGTAAATTGCAAAGTTGGTCACTGAAAGTACTGAAAAATTTATGTTTGGTCACTAAAAGTATTTTATTCCATTCGTGGTTATTGAAAGTGGTTAAAATTTATGTTAGGTCACTCTCCGTTAGTCTCCGTCAGCATCCGTTAACACTGTTAGTATTTTGTTGACGTGGCTAACAGAAATGTTGGTTCACCAAATTTTAACCCGTCACATCAAACCCTCTGCATAACCTAACCCTATTCAACCACTAACCCAACCCTACTCAAACCGACCAGACCCCACCCACCTTCCCACCACCGCCGTCGTCGCCTACCATCCCCGCATGCCACTATCACGGCGTTGGCGCTGCTCTCCTCCAGCAGTCTTTTCCAATCCCTTCTCTCTCTTCCAATCCCTCCTGTCGACTCCCCCACAAAGCTCAATAGCGGCTCTCCGCCCAAATCTTCCCCCAAGCGATGGACAGCCAGAGATAGCAAGAAGATGATGATATGCGATTAAAACTTGGACAAGAATTTTTGCTGAGAGCCAGATCGATGTTGGTTGCTTTTGCCCCTATCCACCCTCCAATCCTCCGAACACAACGACGCCCTCTAATCCTCCAACTATCTGTTTTCCCAATTCGAGGTCTTCCCCAATCGTCGTCTCACCTTCTCATCTCCACCGATTCGAGGAGCGGCGAGTGCGAAGTTTTAATTCGGTTTTTTTTCCGAATGGAAAGTCGGTGATGGATCGACCTCAATAGAGAGACAAAGGCATGCAGTGAGAGCAGAGGAGCACCGTCGGTGAGAGAGATAAAGCTGGAAGGAGGGAGATCGAAAGCCGTCATCCTCGCGCAACTCGTCGTCGACGCTCTCCACTGTCTTGTCCTTCCTTCGATCAGAAATCCCAAATAATCAAAGTGGGAATAGAGGTGGCAGTTCATAGAGGAAGGAGAAACAAGGAAAAAGAAGAGAGGCTCAGGTCATGTGGGGATTGAATTAGGTTGGTTTATGTACTGGGTCTTATGTGACGGGTTATATGACATGGCGGGTCGTATTTTATGATGTGGTCGATTAAAATTTGATGAATCAGCATTTCTGTTAGCCATGTTAGCAAAAAACTGACAGTATTAACAAAGGCCGACGAATACTAAGGAAGAATGACCAAACAAGAAATTTTAACCATTTTCAATAACCACGAATAGAATAAAATATTTTTAGTGATCAAATGTGAATTTTTTAGCACTTTCAGTGACCAACCTTGCAATTTACCCAAAAAGAGTCTCAAGACCAGATAAGACAAATCTACAAACTTTAAAAGTCGGAACCAAAATTCTCTTGCTAGATTCTGAGGCCATGTTCATTTTGATTTGGCTCATAAGCCACTACAAAGCCCCACAGACAAAGGGTTGTAGTTGTACAAGTGAGAATCAATTCTTCCCATACCTCCTTAAACAGAGACGAAATGCCTCATCTCAACGACCCTACAACTAGGAATTCGTCACATTATCCCCTGCGTCTGAAAAACATTTTGTAATGTAAACCCTTCTAGCCAAAAAACGACTATAGATCAGGCTCGAGAAAACGCCGAGGCAATCTCCTTTCTTCACAAGCACAGCCCAATAACCAACCTATTCCTGAGACACAGAAGAAAAGAGATGGTGTGACATTACAAAATAGAACCACTAATGACAACGATGACGATAATCCCTGCACGGACAAAATGAAAACCAGAAAACCTACCTGATCCATATCTGTAGGTCCAGTAGGGATCTCATCAGTGGTCATTTCCTCGTCTTTTTCTCCTGCACTAGTGTCTGACTGGGGCACTTCATCGAAAAGTTTCAAATCCGCTGGAAGCTGCCCCGTGCTCAATGCCTGCCATCATTCACCAATAGAAAAAATGTTAACTTGAATAATAACTGGGGTGGAGACGTTGTGATGACCACATCGGGCTAAATAGAAAGTATACCTTCTCTAATCTTGCAACTTCTTCAAGAGTTTGTGAATTCACAATGGCAGCCTGTTCGGGGAACACGTAGCACAAACAAGTAAATCAACAAGTAGTAGAACATTACACTCAATGCAAATAGAAACAATATAGCCATGCATTTTCAAGTAGTTTTTTCAAGGACGGTACCTTAATAGCTATGATTTGTTCCGGTGTGGGTCCTACCACCTTTGCATTCTGTTGTTCCCCTGCAACATCCACATCAATAGGAGCCTCAGCAGGGGTGAAAGGCTTAACAACTTCTTTTTTAGCTTCCTCTTCTACTTCCTTAGATGCAAATAACCTCTCTGCCTCTGCTCTCTCCTAAACATCCAAATCCATTTTTATCAGCAAAATGCAAATGTGATAACAGATGCAGGAATAAGGCAAATAGCAAGTACATATAAAGCAGCTACAGAGCCGATCTTCAACAGTAGGTGATGTGAAACAAGCACTGTAAATTAGCAAGTCCCCAACTTTATGGAAGGTGACTACTTAAGGACGGACTTCCAATTTGTAACTTATTCATGAGTGATGATCTACAGAATGAGCAATAAAATTCAAGAGGGCATCAAACCACATTTCAACCAAGTATAGGAAAAAAGAACCAGCAAATGAATTTGAAGATAAGCTTCAGAAAGGCTTTATCCCCTGCTGCAGGAAGCACAGATACATTGTCTGACTATATTGCCTGGAAAGCCTCCAATCGTCAAAATCAATAAAAAGGCCATCATGGCCTCCCGTAAGAAATGGTAGAGAAAATGCCTATTTCAAAAGGGTAAGGGTTGGGGTTCCAAATCTTCCTTGAGCGTTCAGGACCAAGGACGAAAGGAGAATCCACCGCAGGAGAAGCGTTAAAGAAGCTGAGAGGGAAAGAGATTCGGAGGAGTAAACAATGGAATCCATAAGCTTTGCCTAGTTAACAAATTAAACAAATAAAGCCAGGACAGAAAATGGGAAAGGAACATTCATGGATTCTTTATTTGAAATATGAGTATAGATACATAAAAGTAACTGAGACATACAGTATCTGAATATGACCTCACCTTTGCTTTCACTTTCTTGAAATCAAGAACTCGAAGGGATTTTAGTTTGAAAATTACATACAGCCTATAATTGGGCCGTTTTGTGATGTTGTTGTCTAGAAGACTGAGGAACTGCAGTTTTGGAAGAGAGGCGAGAGGATCGATCTCCACCAAATTGACAAGTCTGTTGTTTGTCAGAACTAACGAATGCAGTTTCGGCAAGAACTCTGCACCATAGAAGAACAACATAAGAATTGAGGAACATTGGCCACACTAAAAGTAAGATGTTTACTTCAGTACATGTGCACAACATTTAACATCTGTTCGCAGTTTCAAACATTACCTCCGATTCTAGAGCTAATACGGGTAATCCTGTTGTTATTCAGTAGCACAGTGCCCAAGCGATTAAGAAATGGCAGGTTTTCCAGCTTGACAATCTCATTATCAGACAAATCAATTGTATCAAATTGGTCCTGCAAAACAAACGGAGGGACTCATTTATTGCAGAGAGCTTGAACTCAGTATCTGTAGCATAACCTATCAAACAAAGTAGCAGAGTACATTCAAACATAAAAGCTGAATGACCCCAGCAGCGGGTAAAGCTAACTGGTGCCACATGGCATAGAGAAGCGATTTGAAAGAAATAAAAGAGACTCCTCAGAAGAAGGAATCACAATGACACTATGCAGGCTTGTTAGCTACAAAAAAAGATGGGGAAGACTCAACTTTTACGAACTATATAACTCCAACTTTGTCATATGCTTCAATCACACACTACAATGAGACGAAGCAAGTTGCATTTGACCCAAAACCAAGATTAGCTTTCTCACAATAAGCAGGCTTGAGGACTAACGCAAATGGTCAATGGAATACTCTAATTTGAGTAACTAGTAAACCTCAAGTTTGGCATACGCTTAATCAGTGACTATTCTGACAATACTTCAGTGCAACGTGCAGCCAAGATTAGCAGTCCTAACTAACCCTTTACCTGTTCTGTATACAAAGAAAGGAGCAGTAAGGAGTTGGAAAAAAAGAAAAATTACCTCGGTAGCACCCAAATTCTCAATGACAGGGATCTTGTTTCCTGAGATAGCCAAAATGGGAAAAAGAAGAGTTCCTCAGAGTAAACAAGTGCGCAACTTAAACGTGTTCACAGAGAGTGGCATGCGAGAAGCAAAACCCTAAACCCACATGGAGTAGCGTAAAGAGCAGAACCCTAAAAACTCCCGCATATGGACAGTAAAGGGTGGAGAACGCAGAGCAGAGTTTGGCATATACCTCGAAGATCCAATTCACGCTCTTTGATGGCGTTGAAAAAATGAGGGCTCTTCCAAATCAAGTCGGCGGTGAGCCTCACCATCTTCTCCCTGGCAGCTGTTTACTCTAGTGAACCCCAGAAGCTGAAGAAGAATGCCTCTCCTTCGACCTCCTGGCAAATCCTACAGCAGGAATTTCTATCTGAAGAGTTGTATTCTGATAATTCCTAACAAGGTCTACGTTCTTCTAACCTTACCTTTGCCTTCTGAGTTGCGAAATTTTTTGAATTCCCGGCTTGCTTGCTTGCTCATACGTTCGCCAGGAAGAAAGGGAAGGAGAAGGGACCCCGTTTGGCGGAGGGGGAAGGTGGGCCGAGAGAGCGATTCTTGCTCAGCCCATCTCTAGTCATTGGGCCAGCAGAACTTGGCCCAAATACGATTACCGATACAGGTGCTCGGTTGGTTCGTACGATCCGATCGGAACGGTTCGAGCCGATGAAGAACACAGCGGTCAGCTCCGGCCCAATCCGACACGTAACCTCTACGCAATTTTTTGAAACTGCTCTATCGCTCTCTTCCTTATATAAATCCACTCCTCTCCCTCCCTTCTATCTGTGATCCGTTTTCCGTCCGTTCCCTGAACCAATAACCGCAGAAATATTCATCCAGATATGGAATCCGCGACGGAAGGCATTTCCAAGCTCGGCATCAATGGCGATTTCGCGTCCTCCGTCCCTAATTTGCACAAGAACCTCTCGCTTCTGTCACCTGACCAGGTGAGAATCTTCGGCAGCCTCTGTTTCTTTACTACGTTGGCTGGTTCTTGCTCTCATTTCTATCAATCGAAAATGCGATTTGATTTTCTCTTCTACCAATTCACCACGATATCTGTGGTTTAATGCTGTGGAAATGGTGGTTGCCGGATCCTAGATTGAGTTGGCGAAAATGCTTGTGGAGATGGGACAGAGTCATTTGTTCAGCCACTGGCCGGAGTCAGGGGTGGACGATGGCGAGAAAAAAGCATTCTTCGATCAGGTCTCCAATTTTATTTCCTCTTTCTGGTTTTAATGGCTTTTATTTGTCCAAAATTGTACTAGCATCTAATCCACGGTTGTGTTTTCGGTGTTCCGCTTAGGTGGCGCGGCTGAATTCAAGCTATCCAGGAGGTCTAGCATCTTATATCAAAACAGCCAGGGGACTCTTGGCTGACTCCAAAACGGGGAAGAACCCTTTCGATGGGTTTACACCTTCAGTAAGTTGATCCAGATAGACTCCATGGTTCCGCTGCTGCAATTACTATTATTATTTGCTGGGGAGTTCAGTGATTTGAAATCATTGCATGATTAGGCCAACAAATGCTTAAGATTAGATTATATGAGTCTTGGAATTTACTTTAATTATTTCTACATGAAATTTGCCTTACAGTTATTGTTGGGATGGCTAAATATTTTATTACTTGTGGAAGAATGTCTCTAATACTTTGATCTCACAAACAAATGATTTCATAGTGAGATTGTGATTTTCTTGCTTATGAATTACTAAGCATTTAAGCTCACATGATCGAAGAAGATAAAATAAAAGGAGGGTGGTAGAGGCTGGTGCATGAATCCTGTGCTTATGAAAATATAGTTTATGTATACCGGTGCACTAAACTTTCACGAAAATGGTAATAAATGTCCTCTGTAGTTTGTAGGACAAGATTGTGAAGACACTTGTTCAACACACGCATGGACGTGAAAATAGGGTTAGTAGATTGTTGTTCTGACTAAGAGGAAACTGTAGGCAGAACCTCTGTTGTTATGTTAGCACTTAAAGGTTGGATAGTATCATTCTATGTGTCTATGGCACCTGAAGTTACTGAAGGCGTTTCTGAGTGTTGTGATAAGCTTTTGAAAGCATTAACATGCGACCCTTGTTGTATTTTGGTCTCCTCCACCCTTGTTTCTGCCACTTTCTGTTCTTATTTCTTCTCTTGCATTTCAAAATGAATGCTTCATTATGAAATCAGATGGCTGGCTTTGCCGTGCATTTGATGCGTTAGTTAGTGAAACTTATCTAGATGCTGTGCATGGCATATAGTGGAAGTTGGCAGCATCTTGTTACTTTCCTTTCAACATCTCCAATGATTGGAATGGACTATATCTACAAATAATGGGATAGGCTGATGTTAGCTATTATGAATATCAGTTTGTTTTCCTTTCTAAGTAATTGGCGCCATTTCTCTATGTTAAGCGAATGTTAGTAAAGTCGAATGCCTATTTTCAGGTTCCAACAGGAGAGAACCTGAGCTATGGTGACGAATCATTTATAAAATTTGAGGAGGCAGGTGTGAAGGAAGCTCAGAATGCAGCATTTGTGCTTGTTGCTGGCGGGCTTGGGGAGCGCCTTGGTTACAATGGTATTAAGGTAGACATTCTCTCTTTGCATAACTGAATTCTATGGTAAATCCTTGTAGGAATTTGGGCTTCGTTCTGCATCTGTGAAGAACATTTTCTTCAACATTTTGGTAATATTTGGAACTCAGATTCTGTTATCCCTCACCCACAATATGCACTGTAGTCAATTTCCAGTTCTATGTTCCCTACTTGCTTTAACCTTGCACGCATACATTCCTTTACCAAAGACAAACAGAAACCTTCTAGTTAAATAAAAGAAAGATGGCTGTGTTGAAGTCATTGAAGCAATTTGTTGACCAGCTGGTTTGATTTGGATATGTCCTTATGTATGGCAGGTGGCTCTTCCACGAGAGACTACAACAGGAGCTTGTTTCTTACAGCACTACATTGAAAATGTTCTCGCCCTTCAGGAAGCTAGCTGTAAAGTCACTGGAGGTTCGTGCAAAATTTGTGTATTTTCAACCACTGATTTCCTACTTAAAGTTTAATTGGACGGCTATCCTAGTCTTTTTGCTTATGATATATGAATCTCTTGACTATTCATGGAAGCCTCTTTCCCACTGTTCTAAAACATTTCTGTCTTCTGAGAGACAGAATACATGAGTAAATCACATGTGTGTTGAACTTATGTGTTATGCTGGTAGTTTAGCTTCTAAAGTTTGTTAAGATTCTAGAATCACCTAATTTAAGCAACCCTATTTTTTTAATACATTATCTTCCCCTTAAATGCCATTTGAAGGTTCAAATTGCCGAGTGTTGATCTGTCGTGTGACCTCCTTCCTTTCACAATGTAGGTCAATCTAAAAGGGACATTCCGTTTGCGATCATGACATCAGATGACACACATGCACGTACAATGCAGCTTTTGGAATCTAACTCATACTTTGGGATGAAATCTGCTCAGATAAAACTTCTTAAACAGGTATAACTGTGGTATATGAGGCCTGTTTAGATTGGGAAATTAACAACCTTGTTTAACTATCCCATCCTCAGGAGAAAGTTGCATGCTTAGAAGATAATGATGCTAGGCTTGCTTTGGATCCTCAAAACAAGTTCAGAATTCAGGTGGCTGTCTCTTGTATTAGTACCCTAGGTCTGGTATTACTATAGTTTCTTATATATTTTCTGCTCAATCACAGACGAAACCTCACGGTCATGGTGATGTTCATGCGCTTCTTTACTCAAGTGGGGTACTTGAAGAATGGTATTGCTTATTGCTTCTGCCATTTCTGAATTCTTTGTTCCATTCTTGCTCTTCCTTGGTTTATTTGTTTGCCGTTTGTTTGATGCCTATCATGTTTTTTTAATCATGTCTGCACCTTATCTTTTTGGAGTATGCGAGAATATTGTTGGCGCACCCTTATCGTTTATATTTTGTTTATTATAACTAGTCGACCTTGCATTTGTGCACATCTTTTATGTCCACATAGACTGCAGAGGAAGGGTTCTTTATTACTAAACGTGTTTTTCTGGCCCTCTACCTTCCATTTCTCGACCCTTTCTTTATGAAGACTTTGCTCACTCATTAAATTTTCTTGTCACTAGTACTAGCAAAATGCATTGTATTCACAAAAACATATGTAATTGATTTGATTTATTTCCTGTCTTCTTAGGCAGCGTGTTGGTGTGAGGTGGGTTCTATTCTTTCAAGACACCAATGGACTTCTCTTCAAGGTTTGCTTGTTTAATTGAATATTCTATCAAAAGTTGTTCGTGTACATGCAACAAGAAGTGTTATTTGTGCTTTAGTGAAAGAAAGAAACACTTATTTGCAGGCAATTCCAGCTTCATTGGGAGTCAGTGCCACGAAAGGGTATCATGTTAACTCGCTTTCTGTTCCTCGCAAAGCTAAAGAAGCTATTGGAGGAATCGCTAAGCTTACTCATACAGACGGTAAATTCCTAGCCTAAATACATAGCTGAGTTGGATTTGAAGTATTTTATAGATCTTGGTTGTATTTTTTCTGGGGTTTTAGTCATGGTGATGAGTATGAGGCACACTATGTTGAACTGACCATATGTGATGACCGAGTACTCTAGAGTATGTGAACCTTTGAGGTCCAGTTTCCACCCAAGTACAAATATTGATCCAGACTTGCTCATACATACATCATCAGATTGTGAATCCTGTATCTAATATTTGTCTCAAAGATACATCATTGATCCAGGTCTCAATTCTGTTCAAATGATACTGATGTTTCAGGAAGGTCAATGGTGATCAATGTAGAGTACAATCAACTTGACCCATTGCTGAGAGCAACTGGGAATCCTGATGGAGATGTTAACTGTGAGACTGGCTATTCTCCTTTTCCAGGAAACATCAACCAGGTAATTTTTAAGCATCTTCTTAATAAGTATATCTGCAGAAAGTAGAGGATTGATAAATAAGCACTCCTAGTTGCTCCTGTATTCTTTTTGTTTTATAGTACTTTTGGGTCTGTTTGAACTATTATAATACATGACAGTATCCTGCTTCAACCTGCACACTTATCACTATTATCGGATGATGTTATAGAAAAGTTGAGATGGTGTCCTAATCTTGCATAGAGAAGAGAGGAATCCTATCATAAGCCATTTATATCTTCTTTATCATATATAAGCCAACAATTCAGTATATGTAGTTGTATATTGGCTGTTAACAGTAGGTCCAGTACATCAATCATTCGTTTACACACTATAAACTTCATGCCTTGACTTATCCGTTGGCTTAATTTGTCTATATGGTCATCTTAATAGGTTCCTGACCTTTACCTACCTATCTTATATTGTCATTGTTGCAGTTGATTATGGAACTCGGTCCGTACCTCGAGGAGCTGAAGAAAACTGGAGGAGCTATAAAGGAGTTTGTTAATCCAAAGTACTGCCTCTGCCACTTACTATGTTTGTGACATATTGTAAGTTGCCTTATTGTGCCCGGAGAAACTTAAGAAGAAACATTGTTTCTTTCTTGATGCAGATACAAAGATGCCAGTAAAACTGCCTTTAAGTCATCCACCCGTCTGGAGTGCATGATGCAGGATTATCCAAAAACCTTACCTCCATCAGCAAGGGTTGGATTTACAGTAAGTTTGTAAAGAAGCACGTGCCTTATTCATCGGTCTGAACTTACATTGTTTTCATGATGCTACCCTGATCATATAGTACTTTTCTGCCAAAAATATGACGGGTATTTGATGAACTTGAAAATTACAGTATGGGTTTTAATAGGTTTAGTTTGTGCCAGCAGTCTGCTATAGTAGCTATAGTCTGCTTATGTAGTATGACTGTCTTCTTCATATCCATGTTCAATATTTTTTGGCTTAGGTTATGGATGCATGGGTTGCTTATGCTCCAGTTAAGAATAACCCTGAGGATGCTGCCAAGGTGAGTCTGATGTTTCCTGAGTAAAATTTTATTCTATTGATGTTTGAGGAAATTAGAGACTGTTAGGAGTTTGGTAGGTTTAGGTCTCAAATGATACGTAGTGATAGGCCACATTTTGATTTGAGTATGGAAGGAAGAAAGGAAATGGTTGTCTCCTGCCATTCAAATAGTATAGAAGTTAGGCTTATTTGTGCTTGTTTCTCACTTCGACGGAGAACTAACTTCATCCACTTGATCCCTTATTTTAAACGATGGATTTACATTCAAATTTCATGGTTTCTGTTTCTGTTGATTTCTGCCCGTCTTCTAAATCCAATCTTCGTTCTCCATTGGAATATAAATTTTGCTCTTTATAAAAGGTTATTTAATGAAGGTACCCAAAGGCAATCCATATCACAGTGCAACCTCTGGAGAAATGGCAGTCTATCGTGCAAACAGCCTCATTCTCAGAAAGGTACTTATTGCTGTGTTTTTACGTTGAGACTGCTGGATAACTCGTACATTTTTTTCCGACAACTATCAACTTTCTTCTGTTCATCGAACAGGCTGGCGTGCAAGTAGAAGATCCAGTGAAGCAGGAATTCAACGGGCAAGAGGTGGAAGTGTGGCCTCGTGTTGTATGGAAGCCAAAGTGGGGTCTAACATATGCAGACGTCAAGAAGAAAGTTACTGGAAGTTCCTCCATTTCCCAAAAGTCTACCTTAGCCCTTAAAGGTCGTAATATACTCATTGAAAATCTCTCGTTAGATGGAGCTGTTGTGGTCGAGTCACATGATGAAGCTGAGGTAATTTGACCGGCTTATAATCAACCTGATCACGATTATGCTATGATTGAAATGCTCCGTTTCCTAAATTAAACATCCAATCGACAGGTGAAAGTAGGGGGTTCGGTCAAGAACAAGGGTTGGGCCATCGAGAAAGTGGACTACAAGGATACCTCAGCACCTGAGGAGTTGAGAATCAGAGGGTTCAGATTCCAGAAAGCCGAGCAGCTCGAAAAGCAGTACACCGAACCTGGGAAATTCGAGTTGAAAGCTTGAGCAGTTAAATCACAGAATGCAAGAACAACAACGAAGAGGAGATTTCTTCAGGTTGGACGTGTTCTGCTTCCCTCTTTTAGATGCATTTTGGCATTCTATCATTGTGGCAATGCACAAATGAAAGTAGAAATATTGTTTTTTTTTTCCATATAAAAAAGAAAGTAAATAGGCCTGTCAAAAGTGATGGTTGACCACATCGTACAGGAAATTCTTGTGTGATCATCTTCAATTATTTCTTCAGGAAAGAAGGGGTAAAAAAAGTGTCATCGCGTTTACTTCTTTTCAGAGTACGAAGATGTTTCTTTTAAGTTTGCAACGGTTTCTGCAGCCTGCAGGCTTATCATTTTTTTGCGACCTCTCTTTTCATATATAATCTCTGTAGGTTCGTAGTTTCCACATGCATTCAACGATTTAAATCACGGGATAACATCAGTCCTTGCTGATACTTATCTCATGCAATGTTAAAGAAGACGCTAGGCGCTATCTGAACGAGGATGCGTCGTCCAGCGCCCAGGTCAATTAATCGTTGTCTAGACGAGATTAAATGTTGAAAAAAAATATGATAAGCCATATTCCAAAAAACTCGAGTTCCCATATCATTATTCATCCATTCATATACACATACAATCCTTTTCCACAATCCCAAACATCCCAAGTCGCCAACCATGAGTAGGGATCTCACTGCTGGTCGATGAAGGGGAGCGGCTGGTCGAATGAAAATGGGAAATAGAGTAGGGTTTGAGATTTTCACAAAAAGGCTACACTTTCCCCCTTTATTAGTTGTTTTGAGCGTCGCCCACCAGAGTGAAAATGCGCCTCAGAGTGCCTAGGTGCCTAGATCAATAGCCCAGGGCTAGACGAGGCGATTTCCTCCTGCCCAGCTATTAATCACGCCTAAACGAGAGATTAATCGCGTCTTCTTGAACACTGCGTCGAAGAATTATTGATATGGTTAGAATAGTTGTATGATTCTCCAATGCGACACGTGGACAGCCTCCAATCATATTTTCCGGTTGTGGACGGCAAACTGGTGTCATAGACGTCTTTAGTTATTTGGAGCATTAGTTAGTGAACAAGAATTGGTCTCCCTCTGCCTTACTATTTTGACATGGGAGGACTTGGTTTTTGGTTGGACGCAAGGCAAACTGTAAAGAAATATTGTGTGGCAACCGTCGATCGAGCAACCGTAATGTCAACTGTTTGTTTGGTTTTTTATTATTGTTGCTTTTAATGGTTGTTGTATTAATATTAGATTCATCATTTTGTTTCGATACAAAGAAGCAAAATTAGGGCAGCGAAGTGTGGGACCAACTCTCAACGTACCGTCACCATTTGGTTTGTTGTTGGTTGGGATTTGGGGAGAATTGCTAAGAGCGAGAGAAAGGCTACGTTTTGGTCCAATATAGCGGCGAAGGTTTCTGCACCACATAGGTTGCAGCTGTTGGATGCCAAGGTGTGTTCTTGTATTCTGCAGCAATCGATGTTCAGGAACATTGCGCTCTCAAGTCCCACGTCTGTTGACGAACAAGAGTTTGGTTCGAATCCGTTTAGTAGCATGACAATTTTTTTTTTATGTAACCCTCATAAAAAATTAAAAAGAAAATCTGGCATCTGCTGATTGCAGTCTGCGTGTGCTGAATAGAAATGGTCCTCCTCTTCGTTCTGCATGCTTACTCAGTCCAGGACTGTGTCATTTTCATATTGAATAGAGTTACTTTTATTTTTAGTCTATGGAATGAATACAAAGGTCGCTGGAATTTGTGAGCTTTAACGTCTGTCGTGCCGGCCACATATAACTAATAACGACCTCTCCTGAGAGATTGGAAAAGTTCGGTTTACGACACCATAGCACAAGACCCGCAAATGGGGATATGCCTTCAAACCACCATTCTACCTAACATTTGTTGATTGGGCACACAATCAAAAGAACTATACTTTAAAGAAAAACAATCAAAAGATAAATGAATGCTTAATTTTTGGACGCGATAGGGCGGTTTGCATATTGACAACTTCAGTGGCGGACCCAGAAATTACATCAAGGGTGTTCAACCGTAAAACAAAATTAACAAGGATTGTCAAATAGTCTTGAATTCAAATACCACCATTAATAAATCAAAATTTTACCAAGGAATTTTGTTCTAAAATTGAATCAAGGTTTGTCAGTTGACAAACCTATCACCAACCTAGGTCCGCCCCTGGACAACTCCTCTACACCCAAGGTAATATGGGTAGCAAAAAAATAATAATAATAATTATAACTAATAATAATTATTATTTTATTTTTAAATTACATTTTTAGGAAATAATGAAATTTTATTAATTACATCTTGAAAAGTATATTTCTATCTCCCATTTAATATCATTACATTGATAAATTTTTTATCAACCACTACCAATTCAAACTCAATTTCATTTCTCTTTTTAATTTATGTATTTCTATGATCGCCAGAGTTCCTCCAATCAAATTCTTCTAGCAAACTCCTCCGATCACCTACAAAAAAAGTACCATTGCAAGGAAATCAATACTACAGTAAAAATGTACAATTACACTAAAAAAGATTAACACTACATTGATAACATTATCACTAGACCGGAAAATGATATAATTACACCCACAATATCGATCAGTACCACTACAATGACAACAATTACACTATTTACCATTAAACCGATAGCAGTACCACTAAATGATAACAATATCAATAGATTACCACTATATCGATACCAGTACCACTACACCGATTACAATACCACTAAGCCATCACTACATTACCACTACACTGATACGGTTGCCACTAGATCATAAACAATATCATTATACCCATAATACCAGTACCACTACAACAATAACAATACCATTACATAACCACTATATCCATAACATTACCACTAGAATGAAAAGAATAGCATTACATGGAAAATATTACAACTAGACTGCAAAGAATACCACTAGACTAAAAAACTGTAACATCCCATTCCTACATATACGAAATTCCGAATCAATAGCTAGCAATGGGCAGTGGCGGACCTAAGGCAAGGGATGGTGTGTCGTCCGACACACCCTCGCTCGAGAATTTTGTGAAGAACCTACATATTTTTGGTACAAATTTTTTTATTTCGAGATAGCCGATACACCTTCAATAATTATAGCCGACACACCTTTATTATACTCGAAGAATTTATTATCCGAATAAATCAATCTTAATCATAATCCTTTTTAATTTTGTTTAAAATAACTCATAAATCATAATCCAATCAATTCCTATTAAAAAAAAACTCTCAGCCCATACAATATACATGTGTGATGTGTGTTGGGCCTCGGCCTATAATTAAAAGAGAAAAAAATCCACAGGCCTAATGGCCAATAGCCCAGGCGGCCACTAACTCCCCATCATTACCTGTTGCAACGACAAGCTGCGAAAGAACATTTTTAGCTATGAAGATAATTAAGAATGATCTTCGAAATAAGTTGAGTGACCAATTTATGCATGATTGTTTAGTTGTGTATATTGAAAAAGATTTTCTTTGCAGTATACCGAATCGATATTATGAATACCGGGTCCCCAAATTCTCCCAAACCTCAAACCAAATTTGAACCGAATTATAATTCGGTTCGGTCGGTTTAAACCGAATTATAATTCGATTTGGTTCAGTTTTTCACACAAAACCGAATTTGTGAAACTACTTGTATCTTCTGACTTTTATATTATTTTTCACCCCTAATATAAACAATAAATATGCAATTATATGCATCATCAATGATAAAATCAAACTTTTCAATACATCAGTCTTAAAACATTTCAAATATTTAAGTCTAAAAACAACTAGAAACATAAAAATCCACCATTTGGAGCTTGCAATTATAGTATTTCGGTTTTTCGGTAGGAAATTTGGAAATTCGGTTCGGTTGAAAGAACCCTAATTTCTGAACTATCCATATTTTTCTTCCAAATTTCGAACCGAATATCATTAATTCGGTTTCGGTTCTGTTTAGTTCAGTTTCGGTTTGGGTTTACCGAACCATTTGCCCACCCCTAGTTCTGCCATCCTGCAGAACAAACTACCAGAGAAGCAAAAAGACCTAGGGAGTTTTACTATCCCTTCCATGATTGGTAGTTTGCATGTAGGAAAGTCCTTGGAGGATTTAGGCGCTAGCATAAACGTAATGCCATATAAACTGTTTAAAAAGCTATGCCTAGGTGAACCCAGTAATACTAGGATGAGCATTCAACAAGCTGATAGATCCATTGTGCATCCTAGGGGCATTGCAAAGGACTTGATAGTTGTAGTAGGGCAATTCTCATATCCTGTTGATTTTTTTATTCCTGATATAAATGAGGATGTGGATGTGCTTTTAATTTTGGGTAGACTTTTTCTCGCCACCACCAAGGCGCTTATTGATGTGAATGATGGGAACAAATCACCTTCTCTGTTTCTGATAATATGAAACACCCCCAGCTCCATGATGATCTAGATTACTGCGATGTTATTGCTGCTTTTGAGACCGCATTCGCCATCACGAGTGCAGTTACTGACGATTTCCTCGAGCGTTGTCTTTTGCTAGGGGAAGAGGCATCGCATGAGTTGTAGCTGGAGGAGCAGTCAGGCAGCCGCATCGAAGATTGAATCCTAACTTAGAGGCAATGGTCTGGGCAGAGATTGTGAAGCTGATGAATGCAAGGATCATCTTTGCTATATCTGATAGCAAGTGGGTCAGCCCCACTCAGGTGGTCCCAAAGAAAGGCGGGATGACTGTGTTCCCGAATAAGAAGAACGAGTTGATCCCGATGCGGACCGTGACTGGCTGGAGAGCTGCATTAGTTTGATTCAGGTTTGCTTTGGGACAAGCAAACGGTCAAGTGTGGGAGAATTTGATGACTCGATATATACACATGTTTGTGTCCACCATACTTATATTGTTTGAGTCTCATTTATGGTGTTTTAAACCGATTTCATGCTCGGTTGTTCTTGTTTGTGATATTTCAGGTCCTAGTACGTGAATGAAAGGTTGGGCACGAGTTCGTGGTCGATTGGACGAAGTTGAGACGTTTGACGAGAAGCTGAGGAAACCACACGGCCAGACCAGATTTCCACACGGCCGCGTGACTTGGACGTGTGGCACCCTTTTCCTCGGGCAAGGCCACACTGGTCATGTAAGGGCCCCTTTTGACCGTGTAGGATTTCCAGATAGTACACACGCGCAGGCCAGATTTCTACATGGCCGCGCCATTCTGGCCGTGTAGCGTACCTTCCGTCACTTAATCAGACGCCGC